TGGGAGTGTTGGATGGACAGCAACACACCTAATGTAGTCTGTATGTGCCTCAAATACTTTAACTTTATCCATTGTATTGTAATTGTATACACGAATGAACATGTCATCAGCTCCAGCAACAACCCATTGCTTGCGTGCGATAAATTTGGCTGACCTAACTGCAGACCAATGACTTAGACATTAAAGCATGATAATTATCTTATTGGGGAAAATGCCAGAAAGAAATGGCTATCACGCATAAAAGAAATGCAAACAGGTAAAGTAGCATCTCATAAAATACCTGGTAACTCTGTGACCTCAAAAGACTTAGCCATGGTCTGAAACAGTAACAAGAAGATTCAAGTTAGCAAATGCTTACTCTAACCATTTAAAGAACCTAAAATTTCAAAGCTAGCTATAAGTTTAAGACAACTCTCAGAGGAAGGAACACCAAATATTTGTTTTTCTTTGATAGCATGATAGCTCAAAATATACTGTACAAAACCATACTTGTTATGAGATGCATCACAGAGTTAACTGTAAGGATTCAGCAGACCGAAAGACACCCAGCCGAAGAGAAGAACAATGACAAACCCAGTCTTACTCAGGGTTAAAAAGCTATATTAGAAAATGTTATTATTTTGTATATTTGTATTATTTATGCCAATCAAAGCATTCTATAAGTTGAACATCCACCCTACTGGGTGTCAAAAAGAATTTTTCGAAATAAAATTAAAATATAAGTTATGTATAGCTTTAGAGAGAAGATTTGTCAAATGATCAACATAAGCATAAATTGACAGTAGCCATCTATGCTCAATGTCTAAGAGTACATCTGATCAGAAAGAGAAAAAAAGAATTCCATTGTACACAATCCTGTCTTTGGACAGTCAATCAGTAAATCACTAATTGCTTCCTCGCCCTTAGTTAGGGTTTGGTTCATCTAATCAGTTAAATAATTTGGTACAAGTGAGGTCCTCTTTGTATCTAAAGTGATCAAGGCTTCAGTACAGTGGCTTAAATTTAGCAAAAAACCTTATACATTATCTTCTGGTTGTACAAGTTCCATCACTTCACTTCTAGCTCTTTCACTTTGGACCAAAAGACTTGTTTTTATCATGTCTTAACAAATGAAGCTAGCCATACAGTCCACAGAGTTCAATTGTCATAGTGCAACAATGCCTCTTAAGATGGTTGCACATACCAGTAAATGTTAAGATCAAATTTTGCATGTAGTTAGCAATGGATCATAGTTATAACAATATAAAAAGAGTCATCATGATCATCATTCAATCACTTGATATCCAAACAGCAAAGATGGCTTTTATCATAAGGCACCATATATTTCCCTCCATTTTCAGAAATGATTTCAGTACTACTTGGTTGTGGAAATGCTACTTGTAGTATTATATAGATCATACCTGTGTCTGGTAGTTCCAAATACACACAGTTCCTGAATATAAACTCGCCAAAATCCTGCAGTAAAAGTGTCATTAAACAAATTAGTAATTCATCAAGTTTTCTCCATCATTTTCAGAGATACAATCTCATTGTTACTAATAATATGTGGTAAACCACAAAAAATACAGTTGCACCAAAACAACTTGGATCCTATCCTAACCAAGTGGCAAGAGAACCAAAGTTCTTTCCCCACTTCTAATGCAATTTTTTACTATAATTAGTCTTTTTATACAATTACCTAATAAGACAAAGCTTGAAATTTGAAAAAACAAAAAAAAGAATAAGAATCCCTATTGCAGCCATGTCACCCCATCCAATGGGTGCTGCCTCCTGCAAAATGTAGCCACATCCTTTGTTTGACACTGCTACCTCAATAACCAACCATCAATTGCATAGCTTATCATTTCACCAAATTCTCTAGGATGCTATCCTAATTTGAGTAGCAAGCGCATTCCCAAATTAAAAGGTTTACAAAGAAAAAAGAAATATGACAGACATCAGGAAGAGGAGCTGGGATGCATGGCATTGCTCAAATTACATTTTTATGAACAATTTTAACAGAATACTAATAAGCAAGACTAGTGAAATGAAGGTAATGCATTTACCATGGCTCTGTTGGATGTAGATCCACAGATTTTACTCTCTCTGATCTTTGAGCAAGTTTTCTCTGAACCAGAAGATTAGAATTAGACTATTTATCACACAATTCAGGATATAACTATTAAGATCGGGATCTGATCCACATAGAGAAAATAGATTAAAGGAATTCAATAAAACGCACCTTGATTTCCAGTCTGAGAGGCTGTTAATACATTGAAAAAGCAAAGAAAACCAATCAGTGCCAAATTGATACACCAAATCTTAAATTAATTTATTTACTATGATTTCTTTTTGGATAGAGAAAGTAAATAACTGAGAATCGAAATTTGATCAATTGAACAGAAGATCTCGACGAAATTCACGTTATGCTCAGTTTGGTTGCGAAGAAAGGAAATAAAAATAAGATGGAAATTAAGAAAACATCGAATTCCAAGCAACCAAACAAAGCCTAATACATTGCAACACCCTCACTGAAATTGATGCATTTAGTCAAGCAATGAGGGATTGGCACCAAATCAAAACGGATTTGAATCAGATCTAAGATGCAGCCTAATGTGACAACGTTCAGGGAAGCCGGAAGAGATCAGAGACTCACCATTTTCGCAGAGCTCCGGCCGAGATCACAGTCAGAGAAACCCTAGCGATCCAGGTGATCCGAGCACAGAGAGAGAAGAAGAAGAAGAAGAGAGGGATGGGAGGGAGAGAGATTTTGGTCCTGCGCACATGGAGAGGGCTCTTTTTCTGTAAATACGACGAGATCAAGCAAAGCGTTGCGGTTAAGTGAGTAATTTTACGATAGTGCCACTGGTGGGCCAAAGCCGGTTCTTGGAATCAGATCGTACAGTTTCTGATGATCTTGGAACGTGGATTGATGAACGGTGGAGATTTGTCGATTGGTTGCTCTTTTGGTGTGAAATGTGAACAATGTGATGTCATCTGTTGCGTTGACGTGGATTCCAAGCTGGCACATATGGGCCCGGCTCACCGTCTCGGTTGAGCTGAGATCCCGTTTGGAAAATAGGAAAAGGATTAAAAATCATTAGGCATACGGCCCATTTGCTGCTGGACTTTTGGCCACCGGACTTCATTGAAATCACCCATCCCAACTAACTAGGTGTGCCCCATCACCAACAAAGTCTAACCCAGTAAAAAAAAAATATATTAAATTACAGATATTAAAAAGATATTCCTTCTACGTGCACCATCACTAGCCGTCAACCTCTCCTCTCCATCTTCCATCTTTTTTCCTCTTCCGTCAACCTCTCTTCTCGTCAAATAATGTGTCAATGTACGCTTCAATTTACTTATTAGTAAGGCACTGAGTCATTTTTTCTCTCTATAGTTTCCAATTCCGAGCAATTCAGAGACAACCGTTAATTTCTGTCAAAATTCTCTCACTTCCATTAGTTATTGAACATGTGCACCTCACATGAAGGGGCAATTTGGTCCAATCTTGCCGTCTATAGGGGTCTGCCAAGAATTCTTTTGGGGAATTATTTTTGGGCTTAGGGTTTTTCAAAAATTTTGATTTATGGGTTTGGATTTGGTTCAATTGTTGATAGAGGGTTCAAATTGACGGCAAGTAGATAGTTCATATCACGTTCAGATGATGAAGGTAAGAAATTTATGACACGAAAATTATAGATTTCTTACCTCAATGACAGCCCCGACAACCACTCAATCATAGATTTATTTAAATTAGAAACCTCTCAATATTTTCTTAGTCAACAATATATTGTCTGCTATTACAAATACCAGTTGAAAGTCTTTTTATTCATTACGCTTATACAAATACTAGTTGGCAGCATACACTTCTCAGCAGTTTTCTGAGCATAAATCCGCACAACCATCTAGCTTTTCTGCATGTTACACATCAAGCAATTTCAGTAAGAATCCACTTTGAACACAAGGAGGAAAAAAAAAAAAAAAAAAAAAAAAAACTATTCATGTTTGCACATCAGCGTTAATTTTACCCACAGGATAAATAACAACATAATCTCCACCCAAAAATAAAAAAGATGGATATGGAATTCATGTCCCATTTGTGATTTTGGATATTGAGGTGATCGTATTTGATATGCATGTAACGTATCAGGGCTGAGGTTGGTGCAGATGGAAGTTGTGCAACCAAGAATATTGCAGTATAGTAGAGAGGGTCTGGGAGCGTCTTCTTACAAGCTTTCAAACGCAATCCGGTACAAATTGTGCTGGCTATAACACCATGACAGAAGAGCATGCATTTGAGCAGGCACGTTATCAACTGAGCCTGCACTTGACTCACCGAAAACACGATCATCATCATGAGCCATGACGATGAGTACTGCTTGCACAGGTCTCCTGGAACCCTTTCCTTCCATATTGCTCTTTATATCCCTTACTTCTTTCTTGAAATTTTGAGGTGCATGTAGAAGGTAAAACAATCCTTGAATTTATAGTCTTAGACATGAAAAGAAAAAGGGTGAAATTTATTTGTAGATCCGTGAGTAATAAGCTAGACCATGAATCCAATTCATGCATAGATTTTATTATGAACTACATATATATATATATATATTTTATTGCGAGAACAGATTGACATTTAATATACCAGTGTCTGCTTTCATTAATGGCAATTTCTGGTTCTCTTTAGCATACGCTAAGCGTCCTCTCTTGACATATGTTGCGGACAAGAGAGAGCATTCGTGTATGTTTTTCATGCAGATCTTGCTTTTCATACATTTGAGAGTTCTAATCTTAGTCGTTAAAACTTCTGGTTGAGACCCTACGGATTTGAGGTTGGAATTTCCTACAGTCCTGTCTAGCCTTCTGTCTTTTTGCTTGTATGGCAAGATTTCTATTATTTTCAACAAATTTATTCAGCACCAGTACAGCAGTCACCAACTACTTTCTGGAAGAACAAAAAGGGTTTTATTACTGGTAATTATATATGTATTTTACAGAATATATCTGCACCAGTGTAATTTGTTAAAGAACACATATAACATTCCATTTCGATTGATCCTTACAACATGTTCCCTCATGGGATATACTACAAAACACACAAAGATAAGTTTTATTTGCAAATCATACAACAGTAATAGCAGGAACAGCAAGTTTTAAGTGAAATTAAATATTCCTTTAGTCTAATTACTTCGGAGAACACAGTACAAATCGTGCAGCATTCGATGTCTTTATTCCTTCAACCTTTCCTTCTAAGCTTGGAGGTCAACAGAATCCCAAGTATGAGAGCCATTCACTTCAACCACAATGGTTCCTTTGTCAAAACCAAATGCAACCCTGTAGGAGGCAAGGAAAGTATATTTTGATAAATATGCTGGTAAAACAATGCAATAAAACAAATCCTAACAAGCTAAGGGCAACAAATTGAGAGTCCTTTGCCACATTTACATGCTTGTATATCAAACGGTTACTCGAAAAATCATCCTCTCAGATACACATCTTAACCCACAAGAAGAACAAAAAAGAAACTTACTTGTTTGATCCTTTCAACTGTCCAATGGCCCATACTCTTTCAAGACCATAGTTCAATTCGTTCTCTAGCCTGTGATAGAAGAAGAATCGTTTACAACATGAGTTTCCATCAAAGCGATGCAATAGCAAGAATTAAACAGAAAACTGAGTCAATTTTATTTGTAATGTAAGTAGTTTGGATCAGAAGTTACCTAAAAGTGGTTGCATTCCATATGTGAATGTTCCCATCCTCAGAAACTGTAATTATTATGGGAAGCTCAGCATGAACACATACAGCTGTTACATTGTGCTCATGACCTTCTAGAGTTTGCACACAACTTTTGGTTTCAATGTCCCATACCTGTTGCCAAGAAAATTTACAAATAAAATTCAAATTAGTATGACACACATGGTCATGACACCAGAAATATTGCAATTAAGTAATTTGCAACAAATTAACAGTGCCTTCAATACCTTAATGGCGCCATCAAGCGATGCACTAGCAAAAGTATTGGTGTCTTTCGGATTAAATGCCACTTGCATCACATAGTGCGAATGCCCCTTGAAGATCTGAATACATGACCAATCCTTCTCCCAATCCCAAAGCTTTATAACCTTGTCATCAGAACATGACAACAGATATGGTAGAGTGGGATGGATAGCAACACTCCTGATAAAGTCTGTGTGTGCTTCATATTCTTTGATCTTTTCCACCGTATCATAGTTGTATACGCGAATATATTTGTCATCAGATGCGGTGACAATCCAGTTTTTGCGTGCTATGAACTTGGCTGACCTCACTGCAAGCGCAAAAACAGATGTTATATACAAAGTCATGACCAGTTGGCAACATCAAGAACAAATGAAAGAAAATATTGTACCTGGTGACTCAGTGACCTTGAAGGACTTCTCCATGACCTGGACCAGTAAAATTAAGTTAGCCCCATCCAGAGGATTTATTGAAAGCATGAAAATCCCGAATCGGATAATTAGGAGTTTGATATTAATGGTGAAAGTAACAATGGCTCACCTGTGACTGGTAGTTCCAGATACAAACAGTTCCTGAATACAAACTTACTAGAATCCTGCATGGAAATCATTACATGATAAGAATATGAAAAACGAAGTTAGGAGATGCAGAAGGCATTACAGAATTGTCAAGGAGGTAGATTATTACCATGGCTCAGTTGGATGTTGATCCACAGATTTAACTCTTTCTGAGTTTTGAGTAAATTCTTTCTGGTCAAATTAATACAACAGCTTAGAATCAAAATTGAAACACGTCTTATTTCCATTAAATTAAAAAAAAAATATATATATATATATATATAAAAAGGAATAGCTATACCTCAATAGATAGTGAAAGAGGCTGCTTCTCATCAAATCATACAGAAACAATCAACCAGTAAAAATTTGTCAGTTGCAAAATTGAAAAAAAATATGTGTTAGTCAAATAATTATAAGATGGTACGTAAATGTGCTTTTTCTAATATATTTTTTTCGTGACAGGGACATACGGGGTCAAAAAAAAAAACTTAAGAGGAAGACTCAAAACATGATGGAACGCAACATTAAGGCAGACAATGGAGCAAAAAACAAGTACTCAAATGATTAATATGCAAGTTTATGGACCATTTAATTGAGGGACTGATAAACTCACCATTTTTGTTGAATAGCAGGAAGGATATATAATGATTAATATGCAAAATTTGTTGTGATGACTTGAGCGATATTGAAGATGAGATATACGACCTCTTTTTATAGCATGGCATTCTAAAAGCATAATTACCAGCTAAGGAAAATGCTGTCCATATACTAAAAGTCAAAGACCCATATCCCTATGTTGTCATCAAGTGTGTTAGATGCCGTCCATTCATTTTATACATTATAATTGACGGTACAGATCAAGTTTCAGTAACCTTATGTTGTCACCAAGTGTGTTTGATGCCGTCCGTTCATTCTATGCATTATAATTGACGGTACAGATCAAGTTTCAATAACCTTCCTTTGACCGTGTAACAGGGGACAAAATTAAGGTCAATTGGCAATCATCACAAAGGATACCTTTTGAAACTTCAACACGTCGAGTAGAACTTCATGTCTTGAAGGCTGTTGCAAATTTCTGCCTTGTATTTGTCATTATCGTGAGAAGGTGGGAGGAACCAGTGTGTATATAATGCATTTATCTATAACATTATTATTAAAATAACTTACACTTTTTGGAAATCACCAAGCAATATTAGTAGTAGATTTACAAATGAATTAATAATGGATTAATGTAACGTAGATTAGTATAGGTTCTGATTAATGAGAATTAGTAAATAATAACAATGGAATTCAATTCCATTCATGTGTTGATTTTATATGGTTAGTAAACAACTTAATTGGAATGATTTTTTCCATACCGATTCACTACTCCCGATTCCTAAATTTCTCGATTCTTTGCATTGGGGTTGCTTTACATTTTCTTAATTATTGATAATAAAAAATGTTTACTAATCAGGGTCGACCTGATAATTCGAAGGCCCGAGACACATCACTAAAATGACACTGTTCGCACAGCATTCTTGTATTTCACATATGGAACAATGAAGTATTTAGGTTATGAGCTTGATAAACTGTTGAATTTTCTTTTTTTACTTTGGGCAATTTTAATTTTTTAATTAATCTTCAAAAAGCAGAATTAATATATATGTAATATATAGGGATGTGTAAATTTAGGGGCCTGAGAATTAGGTATACAAACTGGAAGTGCGAACATTAATTTACTTATCATATTGTACACATATACATGTACTTATGATATTGAGTTCCATATTAATAATAATCTAAACCAAAAGAAGTTGTAATAATGAATTTGAAATTGAGGTTAGGAAGAGATAAACACACAAATTTTGTCATAAATCAAAGCCCTAGTGCTAGGATTTTGATTTAGATAGTTGTGTTCTTGTGGAGCAAACGTCTACATAACTAGAAGCATTGAGTAGGGGCGGAATTCTGTTCCAAGGACATTGCAATTCTGCGAGCCTTCATATGCCAGAGCACTCAGTTTTTAATTTACTACCATATTTAATTTCATTATTCTATTTTTTGTTTAATTAAATTATGAAAATAATATTGATTGTTGTTCCTCCAACAAGTTTCACTCAAGAGAACGAGTTAGATCAAAAGCAAACATTCCCACAAAAAAAGAAAAAAAAATTGAACTTTCATATTGATTTACTGTGAAATTTCTCTCTTCAATATTTGCTTTGGATATGTTGAAACTAGCCAATTAATCCATATATAAAAAGCAAAAGGCAGATAATTGTGAAACATTCAAAATGGCAGAGGATAATACGGTAAATTCACACTTTTTCATATTTAAAAAAAATAAAATTAAAAGAAAATTCAGATATTAGATCCTATTTTTATGGAACACAACTACCCATTATCTTTTTAAATTCTAAAATAAATTTAATTTTTTTTATATAAAAAAACCTTTCAAATGTGCATAAGCGCATACAGAGAGACTAGTATCAATTATATATAAAGCAGAAGGCAAAGAATGGTAAAACATTCAAAATACCAGAAAATGCCTTTGGTTAATGCAAACATTAAGAAATAAAATTATTAATTAAATGAGGATAATATGGTAAATTCACACTTTTTCATATTAACAAAAAACAAAATTTAAAAGAAAAATTTATATAATGAATCTTATGTTTATGGAACACAACTACCCATTATCTTTTTTAATTCTAAAATAAAATAAATTTTCTTTTTAAAAAAAGCCTCTCCCAAACATGAAAGCACGTACAGATAGGCTAGTATCAATTAAGTATAAACTAATGCAACAAGGAGGGTATTTTTTTTATAAAAAAAAAATTTAATAAATGATATAGCCGGACGGCTATACTACGGTACTTATTCTTTAAAAAATAGTATAGCCTCTCGGCTATACTCTCGGATATCTTTCAAAAAAGTATGGCCGCGCGGCTATACTTGATTTGACCTGTGGTAATCGCTAGGGTCGCTAGGAGGGTAATTTTTTCAAATAAAAGGTATAGCGACCCTAGCGATTACAAGAAATGCTATACGATTTCTTGTCCCATTTGTACGATTTCTTGTCAACAGGATTAATAACAACATAATCTCCACGCAAAAATAAAAGAGATGGATATGGAAATTCATGTCCCATTTGTGATTTTGGATATTGGGGTGATCATATTTGATATGCATGTAACGTACGTACCAGGGCTGAGGTTGGTGCAGATTGAAGTTGTGCAACCAAGATTGCAGTAGTAGAGGGGTCTGGAAGCGTCTGCTTACAAGCTTTCAAACGCAACCCTGTACAAATTGTGCTGGTTTTGACACCATGACAGAGGAGCATCATTTCAGCATGCACATTTTCAACTGAGCCTGCACTTGACTCACTGAAAACACATCCATCGTCACGACGATTTTCTTTCTTGAAATTTTGAGGTGCATGTAGAAGGTAAAACAATCCTTGAATTTACAGGCCTCAGTCTTAGCCATGAAAAGAAAAAGGTGAAATTAACTTGTAGATCCTTGAGTAATAAGCCAGACCATGAATTCAATTCATGCATAGATTTTATTATGAATTACATAGATATCTTATTGCGAGAACAGATTGACATTTAATATACCAGAGTCTGCTTTCATTAATGGCATTTTCTGGTTCTCTTTAGCATACGCTAAGCATCCTCTCTTGACATATGTTGCGGACAAGAGAGAGCATTCTTGTATGTTCTTCGTGCAGATCTCGCTTTTAATACATTTGAGAGTTCTAATCTTAGTCTTTAAAACTTCTGGTTGAGACCCTTTGGATTTGAGGTTGGAATTTCCGACAGTCCTGTCTAGCCTTCCGTCTTTTTCCTTGTATGGCAAGATTTCTATTATTTTCACCAAATTTATTCAGCACCAGTAAACAGCAGCCACCAACTAATTTCTGGGAAGAACATAAGGGTTTTATTACTGGTAATTTGCAGTTTATATATGTATTTTACTGAATCTACTATATGCACCAGTGTAATTTGTTAAAGAACACATATAACATTCCATTTCGATTGATCCTTACAACATGTTCCCTCATGGGATATACTACAAAACACACAAAGATAAGTTTTATCCGCAAATCATACAACAGTAAAAGCAGGAGCAGCAATTTTTAAGTGAAATTAATTATTCCTTTAGTCTAATTACTTCGGAGAACACAGTACAGATCGCGCAGCATTTGATGTCTTTATTCCTTCGACCTTTCCTTCTAAGCTTGGAGGTCAACAGAATCCCAAGTATGAGAGCCATTCATTTTAACCACAATGGTTCCTTTGTCAAAACCAAATGCAACCCTGGAGGAGGCAAGGAAAGCATATTTTGATAAATATGCTGGTAAAACAATGCAACAAAACAAATCCTAACAAGCTAAGGGCAACAAATTGAGAATCCTTTGCCACATTTACATGCTTGTATATCAAACGGTTACTCGAAAAATCATCCTCTCAGATACACATCTTAACCAACAAGAACGAACAAAAAAGAAACTTACTTGTTTGATTCTTTCAACTGTCCAATTGTCCATACTCTTTCAAGACCATAGTTCAATTTGTTCTCTAGCCTGTGATACAACAAGAATCGTTTACAACATGAGTTTTGATGAAAGAGATGCAACAGCAAGAATTAAACAGAAAACTTAGTCCATTTAATTTGTAATGTAAGTAGTTTGGATCAAAAGTTACCTAAAAGTGGTTGCATTCCATATGTGAATGTTCCCATCCTCAGAAACTGTAATTATTATGGGAAGCTCAGCATGAACACATACAGCTGTTACATTGTGCTCATGACCTTCTAGAGTTTGCACACAACTTTTGGTTTCAATGTCCCATACCTGTTGCCAAGAAAATTTACAAATAAAATTCAAATTAGTATGACACACATGCGCATCATAATCGTATGCTGTACATATAGAGCTAAACAGAAAGCTGATAACCAGCATTTGGTCCCAAACCTTAGCAGTAAAGTCATCAGAGCCACTCAATAGATATGGTTTATCCCCGCGACTGAAGTAATCAATGCAATTAACTCCTTTTGAGTGGCCATCCAAGGCAAACTCTGCAGTAGGAGAACCAATGTTCCATATCTACAATGAAACGGGACATTGTAAAAATTTAAGTGTCACAAGGGTCATGACACCAGAAATAATATTGCAATTAAGTAATTTGCAACAAATTAACAGTGCCTTCAATACCTTAATGGCGCCATCAAGCGATGCACTAGCAAAAGTATTGGTGTCTTTCGGATTAAATGCCACTTGCATCACATAGTGCGAATGCCCCTTGAAGATCTGAATACATGACCAATCCTTCTCCCAATCCCAAAGCTTTATAACCTTGTCATCAGAACATGACAACAGATATGGTAGAGTGGGATGGATAGCAACACTCCTGATAAAGTCTGTGTGTGCTTCATATTCTTTGATCTTTTCCACCGTATCATAGTTGTATACGCGAATATATTTGTCATCAGATGCGGTGACAATCCAGTTTTTGCGTGCTATGAACTTGGCTGACCTCACTGCAAGCGCAAAAACAGATGTTATATACAAAGTCATGACCAGTTGGCAACATCAAGAACAAATGAAAGAAAATATTGTACCTGGTGACTCAGTGACCTTGAAGGACTTCTCCATGACCTGGACCAGTAAAATTAAGTTAGCCCCATCCA